GGGGGGGACCAGGATTATTAGAAAGGGGGAGGGGCTCTTCAAAATTCTAATATATCTAGAGGAGAGGACAATTTGGAGATTTTTTTCCAATAGGGGAGGGAGGCAGGACCCCCCTGACCGCTCCCCTAAATCCGCCACTGCATAATATCCACTAACCACATTAAGTCATAACGAAACTAAAAAAAAAAAACTTGACTTCTGAATATGAGGATCAGTATAATTCTTGTAATTTCCACAAGACGCCAATTTTGCAATAATAATATAAAATGCCTGCTTAAAAGTTTAGTTGAAATCAATAAATTCTTAATAATGTAATCAAAGACACACTTACCAAGCCCTTCACCTCGACCATGGACTTTCCCAACTCTGCCCCATAACTCTTTCCCACGCTTGAATAAAGCTAGCAACTTCTGTCGCATCGTCTCCTTGTTGCCATCTGCTGCGATGCAGAATTTCCCCCCGCTGGCCCCAAAAGAGGCCTTTAACTTAAGCCCTATAAGCTTAATGATTGCGTGGACTTAACACTGATGCAATGCGCCCTTAAAGGGCGAAATATTTTCGCTCATCAACTGCGCAGTTTTGTATCTGATGACGAAACCAGAGAAAATTCCCCAGTCAAAACATTGGTGACGTCATTACATCTTACTCTCAAAATATCTAAAATTACTTTTGAGTTTATTTGTTTCAAATCTCACACTCATGATTACCTTTATGTATCAAATAATGATTTTTAAATTACATATTGATGAGATATGGTCTATATGCACATTAATGATAATGAAAACAAACTTGATTTACAGCTACGGTCTGAGAGTTGATGGCACTCTTGTGAATAAGAAGGCACATAAATGAATGATTTGTATACAACACGTGAGGCGCCGACAACAACACGAACTAATCGCTCGAGCAAATATACCTAAAGCTGGTTAGCATGGAGACTTTCCACGAACAAATGATGTTCGGGGATTCTTTATCAGTTTTTCTTCCCAATGATGCGAAGGATGTCAGGTACTTTGGAGCCCCACCCGTCAATCTCTCTCTAAAGCCAACGCACACAAACTCGCTCTCTCTACAGTAGTAGTCTCTAGCACATATAATAGCGGCCAATCAATGATTATATTTATTTTTATTATTAAAATGTTATTTTATGATTTTTAATATTGGCAGTAGTAGTAATAGCTAGTATTTGTATACATGTCGTAATACCGGTAGTACATGTAGTAGTTTCTTCTAGAACATGGAATTCAGTTCATTAAGTAAAATTTCTATCTACTGTAATTCATTTTAATTGCAGGGATGAAATTGATAAAAGGTACTGCATAAGTGACTTAACCAAAAAAAAAAAAAAAAAAAAAAAAAAGTCCAAAACTTATTTATTTATTTTTTATGGGATGGGATGGGGGGGGGGCACAGGGAAATAGACTGTATACCCAGTAAGTTCTTGGTAGCATCATCATGTGACTTATAAACGTAGCCAAAGACATGATTCCAGTGGTTATGAAAATATTGATATTTTGATATTTTCAAGTGAAATCCGGGAGATCCCAGACAATCAAGAAGTGTTTACCCATTCACAGACGGACCAGAGTGTAATATTTGAAATTTTGGAATACGTAAAAGAGGACTCACACCAACATGCAATGAGGTAAAATGCTCCAGTTATTTATTTTGAAAAAATAACTACACAGAGGCAGTCATAGCAGGCATTCATTCATGAAATCCAGTTAAATGTATCATTTGTTTTGTAATTTGATTAATAAATAGTGACATTTGTATATTTCATATAGAAGTGAGGCATATTGGAATTTGTAAATACCATTTCAATATACCTTAACTGGGGAAGCGCTAGCAATTTTTTTCGCATAGCCAAATCACCACATTTTTGTCAATTTTTTTTACCAAAATGGTTATAATTTGGCTAAAAATGTCAAATCAAGCCCTTTTCCTTTATCCAATTTAAGTCAGTTTTATCATTTGGCTAAATTGGCGAGTGTTAGCGCTACCCCAGCTTAATATTCTAGTCTGTACCACGATAACTATACTTGCTTGTGATTTGAAGACTTTGAATATTAATGTCTTAGGCCCCATTCAGAATAGGGGACTAACCAGTACGAGTGTCAAATATGGCCAACCCACTTTAATACTTCCCCACAGGATATCTATTCAGTGTCTGTTAGCAGATTAGATGGCAAGCTTTGTAGGGGGTGGCCATATTTGACCCTCGGACTAGTTAGTCCCCTATTCTGAGTGGGGCCTTTGACTGTCCTTTTGCATTTCATGTAGAACCCACTTTGAAGATGGGTGTCTCAGTAATGAGGTGGGTGAGGACTCAGAGATTATTACAATTGAAGCTGTGCCTGCAGACAGAATTCAAATGGAACAGTGAGCATAATATTATTGAGCTGAACAAACTCAAACTAAAGCCAGTTTGAGAATAAATTGAAAAAGAGAAGGGTTATTTTAAGGCCAAATATTTTAGCCTACGTCAATTTGCAACAGTTAATTCCTCAGTAGTCCATTGAAATAAAGAAAAAATTTGATCAGTATGACATTTCTAACTTCTTAAAAATCTGAATTCAGTTACCTCAACTGAACTGCCACTCTAAAGTAATTGTTGAAAATTTAGCACAATGTAACTGATCTGAATCAACTTGTTAAGGTTTTGCCACTGTTCCTGCTTTTATTCAGAAGTTTAAATCCTGATGTCCTAAAGGGCCAGCATACTACAGTATTTTTAGTACAGACTGGGTGGTTCTGTTTCTAAATGATAAATTACATATATTTAAATATATTTTCAGTGCAGAATGCGTGTGGTATCTTAAGGGCTGCCAGAGAGTTGCTAAATTCAACGAGGATGCTAAAAACACAGTGGAGATCCACATGGCTTTGTTCAGGCTGCCTCAGTTTGACTCTGATATACTTGTCACATTTAATAACCCATTAGAGATCAGGTACATGTACTCTTCTATGANTGACAGATGTTTTTACAGCACACTGTTACTGTAGAAGTTTTAATATAGAGGGGTCATGTCGATGCACCGTTACTCCCCTGCACCGTTACTCCCCGCACCGTTACTTCCCCGCACTGTTACTTCCCCGCACCGATACTCCCCTGCACCGTTACTTCCCTGCACCATTACTTCCCCGCACCGTTACCCCCCACACCAATACTCCCCCGCATCGATACTCCCCTGCATCGTTACTCCCCCGCACCAATAATCCCCCTTAGTATTTTTTTGTATTATGCGCATCGATACAACCCCACAATGATAGATCCTCGCACTGATACTTCCATGCACCGATACTCCCCCTCAGTATATCTGTAATTGTGGGGGAGATCGGTGCGGGGATGTATCGACATGTAACCAATATAGAGTCTTGACACTGATTAGTACTACCGCTGATGGCAATAGCCAATAAGAGTATTTTGGAGTCACCAATACCACAAAGTAGTTGACTAGCTGATTTTGATAGTCTAAGCCAAGCCCCAAAACTAAAAGATTAAATTAATGTTTCTTTATTATTTTAGCCCCCTCAGTAGCAGCCATGCAGCGGTGCCCGTGTCAGCACAGCCTTGGACATTACAACACTTTCAGTGTATAGTGGACTCCTTGAAAATAATTAACACGGATATTTTTGGCTGATTTTCTGGATAGTGAAAGCAGTGTTGTGTTTGGTTTTGGTTGAAGAGCAAACTCAGATGCCTTTGATGGATATACAAGGCTATACTGAGGATTCTTGGGATATTCGGCATCTTTTATCAATTTTTTTCATCAATCTGTGCCAATGCTCTAACAGTTCCAACATACATTGGATAAGACATAACTCTAAGGATTATTATGGCTGTATTTAGAAGGCAATATCATTGGGAAATGGCACATCTACAAAATGAATATTTCAAGGGTATATCTGACTGTAAAATCCATTGGAAGTACTAAATACAAGAAAAATCCCAGTGAAATATTTTGACTTTGATAGTACTTTCAGATTATTTTTCCAAATAAGCATGCATACTGAAACCGCAAGAGAAAAGCACTTTTTTGACCTCTTAAAATGACACTTGATGGACAAGTTATAAGAAATATATTCTTTAAAGTTTATCAGTTTTCTCTGAAAATGAAATTGAGTAACAAAAGTTGATGCACATATGAAACTGGGATCCCTGGATACAATGACAGTGTCACAGCCATATTGAATTTGGTGGCCATATTTGACAAATATTTTTATGGAAAAATAATGGGAGATAGACCACAACAACATAATTTCATTAGTTTAAAATAAAAACATAAAAAATATTCATAAAAAGCAATGTTGCACTTTATTTTTCATATGCACTACATGTACTTTCAATATTTGCATAATCCTTAAAATCTGTTCATCATGCAGTATACACATTTCAATGTTACTGAAATATGTAATTTGTCACTGTAATCTGATTATACTAGTCTTTCTTTTCTTTACCAGCAAGTCCAGAGTGCATCATGGTAACTAAGTCAATTCAATCTTGGTCCTAAACCTGTTATGCCAGAGTCATTTGGTCATTTAAATAATATTGTTCCCATGATATGAAAAAGACTTCAATTATGTCCTTGAAATGTAGCACAGATTAAAAAAATAAAACTGGATATTATACACCTTGTATTATAAAATTTTAATAAATGTACATAAGTACATGAACACAATTTCAAGTTGTCTTCCTACTTCAACCAGGGCTAAAAAAGCACATGAAAAATATAAATGACTTGATAAAAAGACAATAAGTGGCACTTTGAACATAATGTATGCCAGTTAACTACAATAAAAAGTACAAATTTGTGGCTTTTTATCTTTCATTTAAAATCATATTCTTGTAAGTGAACTATCAGAATACTACTCTGACCAGTAAAAAGAATATTTGAGAGAGGAAAATACATTGTTAACATTTAAAACATTACATCTGAAATGCTTTTTCTGTCTGTGAAAAACATTTATTTTAGTGTTATACTTTCTTTGTCTCCATCCTTCATGCCAATTCAATTCAATTCAAACAAATTGAAAAACAAGGCAGCAAAGCTGTCAANTGTTAGAATAACTTATTTCTACCTTTGTAAATGGTAAAAAGATGATTTTTATTTTTTAATTAAAGTAAAATATCTAGGTCAGGAGTAAATTTTTCTACGGTCGCATCTTGTCGCATGTTCCCTTTTATCATGGCAGGCAATATGGACAAGTTTAAGATTCATCCTTGTAAAGAGGAGGTCGTAAAAGTATTGAACATTTATTTTCCTGCCCCTAGGAATGTTCTTGGCGGCTTCCACAAGACATGGTAACACTTCTCTGGACTTTTCAATACTAAAAGAAAAATAATAATAATAATAATAATAATAATAATAAAAAGAAAGAAAACTTGACATGTAATTCATAACAAATATTTTGTGGCTGACATGCACTACTAAACAACCCCATGCTCTGTGAAATATTTTGAAACCATAATGCCTAATAGCAACTTCATTATTTTTCCAATATTTACAAAAACATTTCACATTTATAGGCTGAGTTTGAGAGAAAAAAGCAAATACAATGTCCCCAAGTGCAAAACTATTTCATAAAGTATTTCAAATTTTCTATCATATATCACTTTTGAGATCAATGCCCTCGACTCCACACCATTAATTTTTCAAATTTGTTTACTTAATGGTAGTATATATCTCACACTGTTACTCTGCAACTTACACATGATCTAGATTCCATGTGCTGAACAAAATCCTGCTTTCCTTGGACCCGTATGGGTTAATAGAATGATAATGTTTGCATGTCTCCTCATTGTAAAGTCCCTCACAGCTGAACCATCCATCCCTGTCACACATTCTTTCCTTGTCAACTGAATGAGATCTCACAAAATAATGTCCATGGTAACTGTTAAGTTTAAGCTGTTCTTTGAAACTGTCCATGACTTGTTCTAATTTGAGTTTTGTATTTTCAGGTATCTTTTGAGCATTGAAATGTTCTTTGGCCTAAAAAATGGGGAAAAAAGTAAAACATCATAATATTATTGGTGATAAATGCTTTAAAAGACCAACAACTACGTACCTTTCTTCTTTTTTCAAAATTATAAAATATTGACCTAACGATTTTAAACTGACGTAAACATCTACTAAAAATAATGCATTGCCAAATGCTTTCCAAACCAGAAATGGCATGGTTTTCTTTGGAAATGCACAATTCTTTATCTTTATTTATTTATTAATGTATTGAATGACACTGATTATTACTTAATATTAATACTTAATATTAAGATACAAATTTCTGTGACCACCTTGTCCAAGTACCCCCTGATTCTGGCTTTTGCACTGTATCTCAAATGTTCTTCTTTTGCCCTGCATTTAGATGATAACCCTACAACATACAAAATGAAAATCCATTGAGTATCATATTAATATCACTACATACAAATCTGTAAAAAATAAACATCTCATAAATAATTTATGAACACTTAAAAACCACAAACTTATACATATGGCTCAGGCTGAATCAATTATCATTGTTGCTTAGAAATTAATATTGATAAGTCTCATTGATGTTGGATATAAAAAAGGAAGACTTAAGAAAATGATCATACCATATACTACAAGTATCTCTTTAATATTAATATGAAAAAATACCTTCAAACCAATCTGGATCCTCTTCCCTTGTACTAGATTTTATATTCATTTTTATATTCTTCACAAACTCTGCCAATCCAACTGCAGTCTGTTTGTTGATGTCTCCATCCAAAAGTTCCTTGTGGATACATGTGTAGATGTTTTCTTTTCTTGAACAGATGTTTTCCTCAATTCTACTTATACTTCTAAGTAGCATGGAGGCACCTGAAGAGTAAAGGTAAGTAATGTGAAAGAAAATCATGTTAGAATTTGTTACATTCACAGTAAAATAATGATAAGCATGCATACATTGTGCATGAGACCTTCACAGAACAAAACTGCTTTTAAAGGAACTGATGTGACTCAGAGATTCACTTCTTTTGTGGAGAAATCTTAAATCAATCGTATCACTTATAATTATAGATCTATTCCTAAGAAATATCCACAGGAGAGGATATATCATCCTCCCATCCTGCCCAACCCCTCCCCTCCCAAACCAGGCAAGCCTTTGTCTTTAAAGCTGTCAAAAAGAAGAGATTATATGAGGGAATGATGGTTTGACACCAAAAGAAACAAAAGATTATGGCCAAACTTACTTATAGTGAACATTTTGGTTTAATCGTGTCACATGATCTTTCACGACCATTTCTGGTGTTTTTAATGGTGTACAATAGCATCTATGGTCTCTTTTGCAATTATTTGATATCTTCTAAAATGACCAAATCTCACCTCCCTCCCATTTTTCTCCTTTACATAAAATCATTAGAACGGTCTGTGAGGGAAGACTCCACAGGTACTTGTTGTCTTCAACTTCTGTGCCATCTTCTTCTAGACAAACTGTCACTTCTTGTGTTGGAATCTACAAAAATAATGCATTGAAGAGAAAATTACACACAAAAAAGAAAAAACTTATAAAAATTAACTGTGTGTGCCATTAACACTTAGATTCCTGGGATTTTTCTTAAACAAAAGGAGGGTCTCAATTTAAGGTCTCGATTGGAAAAGTTAAGTAACGTCACAGAAAATACAGACACAGGAAATATGACTTAAGGATTAAACGCGGATTATATATCTTTAATACCGGCAGTGAGGCAACGTTAGAGTATAGACAACAAAGTGCCAGCGTGGAATTTGAAGCCGTGGAAATGGAAAGTAACGCCTGTTGGCTACATTTCAGTGGGCTTACCTGTAGTTTTTCGCAACCTTTTAATTTCAATTCGTTCAAATCCTTAACGGCTATTCCTACTCTCTTCCTTTTGTTAACACCAGTAACTTTGAAAGCCTTCATAGTAAAATCTTTCGTCATTTATCATTCTCAAAACAAGTCGAAAGTGAAATTTCCCCCCATGCGACCTCCATTTGTAAACATTGCAAGTCTCGTGACCTCTCGTCCATGGCCTATTTTTTATTCCCATTGAGTTTTACCTATAAAAGACAATTAAACAGAATACGTGTATAACTACATTAATTTTATTTTAACTACTCAAATTAGAAATAAATGCTAATCCAAATACTCTTCGCAATTGCACATAAATGGGACTTTGTTTTATAGGTCACGTGACTAGAATCTCGGACGAAATTTGGCGCAAGCGCAGAAATGTGTGTACAAATTTTGGTTTCTAACCAAGCAGATGTAGGATTTATTTAAGCACAGCTGGTAAGCAGGGGTCAAATGTTGTTAATATGTATAATCATCGAAAAAGGGTATTACCTCAAGTCAAATTAGCCGCATATTTTGCCTTTTGCTTGCATTGTTTGGGCGCACGCAACTTTCTTGGTCCTGTCGTTCCGACCATGACTTTGATATTATTTTGTTGGATTCGTGACATATTATCTGACACTGACACTGTAGTTCAGTGACACCGTAGATCTATACTTAATTATGCGTCATCACTATTACCGTATAATTGTGATGTTAATTGACCTTTAATAGTAGTTTGCATTAGCAATATTGTTCGACAGATGTTTAATGACTTCAAACTCTAGATGTAAGTAAGGACACATGTGCCTTGCAAATAAATGTCAAGTTGTGAGATTATCATCAGGTTGGCAGTAATATACTGGTATGTGTATGTAATAATTATTTTAGGGTCTGTATTCATGATGGGTCAGTTGTTAAGCTAAAAAGCAGGTAAATAGTATGTTTAATTATACTAACAATTACTTGCATGTATAAACTTTCATGAGCATGCAAGCATGGATATAATCTTTTAAGAATTATCATTTGTTTGTGTTATTGTTTTTGCGACATTAGCTGATAGGGTTGTGTGTATGCATTTCAAAAGTTCACCACCAAGTTAATGGTTTGTGTATTTTATACCATGGAAACTGGAGTGTGTGTCTATATTTTGCTGCACCGGTTAAGTGTGACATTTTACCAGTAGAAGGAGGAATCTATATTAGTACCCTGTACCCAGTATTTCTGCAAGTTTTTAAGGGTAGGTCATTATACCCCTCACATACCAATTATCTTCATTAGGTCTGGAAAACTTTATTTTCATGTTATAAGGTAAGTGGTTTTTCAGGCAAAAATATAATTATTGGATTTAAAAATTGCTTTGAAGGGAACGTCTGCAGGCTATTGGGCAGGAATAACTGAATGCATTTACTAGTAGTGAAATTTTCTGGCAAACTCTTTTTTTTTTTTTTTTTTTACCAGGTACTTTTTGACTAAGTTCTGAGTTTCAAAATCAGAAAGCTAGGAATGTATGTGCTTTTGATACCAACATTTTTAGCAAAAATTCTGTCAATTAAAAAAATGGCTATGGAGGGAAAAGAAAAGGTGGGGGATCAGGCCTAGGTTCTCTCAGCTGCTTTGCACCAGCATTTTAAACTAATTTGTCAGTGATTTATTTGATATCTCTTTTCTTTGCTAGTGGCATAGGTAAGCCGAGCCATGCCAGGAAAGCTAGAGTTTCGTGTTGTCCATGTGTCTGGCCAAGATGATGGTTTCAAGGCCACTGAACTGAATACTCATTCACCCACCACCAAGGGGTGGCAGTCTTCAAGGTAGTGTGGTTTAGCCAGCTCTTATTATATATATATAATATAAGAGGAAATACTTAAGTTTGTCTATTTGAGCAAGTTAAAAAGAAAGAAAGACCACGCTAATTTTGTTAAGAAATATTCTTGTGTGTATAGATCTATACAATTGCCAAATACATTTGAAAATTTACATTTAATTTGAATCAAATAATTTATGATTAATGAGTAACTGTATATTTATATATATTATAATAATATGATGTTTATCTCCATAGATTCTGCCTTTATCCACAAGACATGGTTTTACAGTTAGACAAGAAATCTCGAATGAGGAAACTTCAGATTCTTGTTCATCAGTACAACATTGGTAAGTTGTCTCAAGATGGTGATTATAAAAATGAAGAAGATGGCTTATCTGTTTTTTCGATTGTTATGCTGCTGATCGTGAGTTGTTGCCAAGGTGACCAGGTTGCTTTGCAACAGGTTTCAGTTACTAGTGCTTAATGTTGAAAATATCCTATCCAGGATCTCCGTGACGATGCCAATTTTTTCTTACTCATGAAGAAATGAATTGCTTTGTGTGTATTTCATTTGTTTCTGTGTGACTGTATTTTATTATCTTGTTGTTCATCCATACTTTTATATTTTACAGCCACAAAGATAGAGTTTTATGTTGGAGATGTTCCAGAAGACACTCCTGTTACACTTCAGAATGCTAGATATACACGCCTGGGGTAAGACAACGGACACATTTACTATTCAAAGTTTCACTGAAAACTCATATTTTTTAGAAATATATGACCTTACTTTGAAAACTGAACATACCTCTGATAAATTTTTCATAATTTATGTTTTCTCATAATTCAATTTAAAGTAAATTTATTTCTAAAGATAACATAATGATTGGTATAATTCATGGCACATTCCTATGGTTTGATCAATTTTTAATTGGAATATAGACCCAACCATTTGTGTAATATCTGTTTACATTTACATTATACATTGTTTCTACATGATGTCCTGATGGATTGTGTTATAACTTTGATTCGTGTTAGGTATGTCTGCATGTCAGATAACGAGAAAACGGGCTTCAAAGCCAGGGAGTTGAAGAGCGTGCACGTGGATGCTGTCGGCTCCTTTCTTAAACTAGTCATTCATAAAAATCATGTCAACAAGCACAATTTATATAATCAGGTAATGTAGACGCTGTAAAATTTAAGAAAAGAAGTCAAATTGTAAACAAATGCACAACTCAAGTGTTGATTATTTATAGTGCTACGTTAAAGTAGAGAATTTTTTCATAAGAGGTCCGCTTTTCTGCCTAATGAGTGTTATATACTAATTGAAAGTTATTCATTTTTTTCATCCTCAGGTTGGCATCATAGCGGTGAATGTGATAGGAGATGAGATCAAAAATATTTATGACCCAAGTAACTTGGTAAGTTGTTTTTTAAGAAAATTGCATCACTTGGGAAAACAATAATTATCTTAAGTCGGACCCCCCCCCCCCCAAAAAAAAAAAAAAAAAAAAAAAAAGAGGTGAGGCTAGCATCTGTATTAACGTGTCAAGAAAAGCCCAATCTAAGTTTTCCCTTTGATACTTTTTATCTTTGAATTCAGTTCAGTTTTTGGTTATAATAATCTTTTATTTCTCAGTATATTTCTCAATTATATACATTTTCAAATCTCACACTGCACTTCCTAAGTAAAAGCTACCATTATAAATATATGCATGATAAGTATGTGTCCCAATACCACGGTGAAGGTGTCTTGTAAGACTCAGAAATACTGGGCTGGTTATATATCTGAGTAAAAAAACAGGTAGATTCTACAGTAAGAGTTATTTAATAATACTATTGTTGTAACTTAGATTAAAAATGCTTCTCTGATCCTACAGGAAGGAGATCCGTACATAGATGATCCCAGATTGAAGCAGGACCCTGCCTTGGCTGGTTTACTGAATAAGTAAGACTGGGCTTACTGGTGTTCATTGCCAGTTGAGAAAGTTCTAAAAAATGTCAACATTTTGATTGATATCATTGTGGATACCAACAATATGGTGGAGGCCGTTCCCGAAAAAAATTTGTTTCTTTAAGAACGTAACGTTGTATGACTGCTATGATTATAGTGCAAGAAAATTTATTTCATAATTTTGTCTACAATTTTAGAATTGTGTAAAAAACCTTTTAATTCAAGATTAATATTAAATTTAAAATATTTTTCCTGTTACTGTATTTCAATAGGTTTAACACTTAATGCTGTACCTTTAATATTCTGATCATTATAGACTTATAGTAGCACTTAATCCCTGGTACTGGGTTACTGACAGATTTGAAATCTTTTTCCAGGCCAGATTATATCTCTCCACTGGACGATCTGGCATTTGACATGTACCAGGATCCTGAAGTGGCACAGATTATCAGGAAGCTTGAACGCAAGAAGCAAGAGGCTGTTCTAGGTAATTCATGAATATGTGTTTGATTAGAGCTGAAATATGACTTTGTTCTAGGTTAGTCATGATTATATTTTTGATAAAAGCTGAAATATTGACTTTTGGTTTTGTATTTTTTTATTCCTTATTTTGTTTTACTATTATTATTATTTTTTTTTTGGGGGGGGGGAAGGGTTATACTTGACCACAAGAAAGGATTGTCTGTTCAGGGCACCTTGCCTAAAGGGAAGGTGACAAGCTTTTTTATTTTAAAATAAAAATTGCTTGTTTGTCTATTATTGTTGTTGTTGTTGTTGTTGTTGTTGTTGTTGTTGTTGTTGTTGTTGTTGTTGTTGTTGTTGTTATTATTATTATTATTATTATTATTATTATTATTATTATTATTATCTTTACAGAGGAAAGATATGACTTTGCCAAGAAGGTGAAGCAGGCAATAACAGACCTACAAAAGGTAAAAAACTGAGATGAATACTTCTGAAATAACTTAAATGTTCAGTTTAACTGCCTAACAATTATGCCAAATATGTACTTCTTGTTGCTCTTGCTAAATATTGATTTAATTTTAATCAGTCAGCTTGTATCCTGTTGTAGAGCCACTGTCAGCATCACAGTGAAAAAATGATGTTTCAAAGTATCAAACTCAAACAGTGCTTGAATGCTCACTCACACGCACACACACAAACAGACATACCAAAAAAAAAGAAGGAAATGTGATTTATCTGTTAATTTATTATTTTTCTTTTTTTAGTCAAAATTATTTATGTATTTATTTATTTTATCAATTATATATTTATTGAATCATTATTGAAGGTGGGAGAAAAGTTAGGTAAGATGGAAGTAGAAAAACGCCAGGCGGTGGAGAGCGAGGATTACGACAAAGCCAAGTTAAAGAAGGTGCAGATGGATGAATACAGGCTTCAGGTGTACAAACAGCTTCAACTCCACGATCTGCTGGAAGTTTCAGGGGTGAGAAGTGCTCTGTTACGCATCTTTAACTAATAAAAACCATTTCCAAAACAAGACAACCGTTCACAATGAATTTTGACCAGTAGAGCAATAAAGAAATATAATAATACTGATTATTTAGTGTATTGTCCACTTTGGTTTTTGTTCAAGAAAGAAAATTGGCTCTGGATGTTGTCACAGAGTAGTACTTGGTTTTAAAATGGATTTTGGTTTTCATTTTAGTCAAAGCATCCTCAGCCAGTGACCATTGGTAAGTTTGATTGGTTTTTAGTTTGAGACCAAAATTTTAGTCTATTGACCCAAGATCTGCAGCTGTCCAATAAAATGAAGATAGACTGCATCAATTTAAATACAAGAAATGAACAGCTAGGTTTTCACATCAGTGTCTTGTTTTAGTGGACCATGTGTGTATGTTTTTAACTAAAAGATTAAAACCAGTTTGGGGACCAGTGCAAGGTTATTGTCCACAACCTCCACAATACTTAAGTACTCTGGGCTTAATAAAAAACACTCATAAATGCATTATTGGGGCTTTAATTTTTAGACATTCATATGTTTTTAGAACCTGTGAGGCAGCAAACTCCACCCCCAAAATTGGAGCGACTGGAGAAAACACCAACCCCTCCCCCTCTCCCACCTCCAGAAAGCCGCTCGGGAAAGCTCCCCTATGATGAGAGACCTCTTCCAGCTTTAAAAAAGTAAGTCAGTGAATGAGTATGAAGTAGAAAATTGAAATGCTAATTTCATTATTTGGTGAATTTAAATGTTCTAACTCGTAGATTTAGTTTTTGGCTCATGTTAATTGCAACCTTTGGTCTTCAGATAGGTTAAAAGATTTCCCAGGTTCACCCCAAAAAAAGAATTTGCAAGTGCTTTTATTTCAGATTGATCAGCAGTGCAAAGATACAATCTTGTAGCTAAATGCACAGTTTTACAATGTGTGTGCATGTGTTGGGGGTGGGGTAGAAGTGTGATGTTTTACAGCAACATTGTTGCATTCACACATGAGTGTGACCAAGACTAGTGTTGTTGCCCGTGAAAACCATACATGGGTCAGGAAGTACAAAACTTGGTTCTGTTTGACAATGTCATGAATTTTAAAAACATATATGCTTGGCAGTTTAGTTTTTAGCTTGTTTCAATGAAAACTGAATGTTATTTGGCACATAACTTATGCCAACATTTTACAGTTTTGAATATCCGAGAAAATATCCCTGTTGAGAAAGAGTAATTTTGATTTTTAATATAAGAGGGTATGGTTCTGTTTATTGGTAAATGTGATGATTGGATTGTGCAGTTTCATATCATATAGATACTATATTACATAAGTATGTGTAATACAGTGAGATAAGAAAATATGGTGTTTCCAATTGTTAGAAAGCAGCCTGCAGGCATTGAAGAGGACTATGGTAAGCTTGAATCTGAAAGTGAAAGTGAAAGTGAGACAGATGGTGAGAGTAGCAGTTCTAAAAATAAGCAATTTCCCCACAATCTGTCTGTACCCAAACATCGCCAGGCAGTGAAAAAACGGGAAAATGTGGAGACTGTAGAGACGAGTGAAGATGATACTGATACTGAGACAGAGACAGAGAATACTGCAACCAAGCCACGTCAGCTTGTTAGAGATCCTAAAACACCAGAAGACCATCTTGACGCTGGCAGCCAGGATGATGCGAATCCTGAAAGTGATGATGAGGATGAAAAGGGAAAGAGACCAATTGAAGGTAGTGAAAGCGTAAGTGAAATCGAACAAGATGAAGATGAAACCAACCATGAACAGCCGCATGTGGCAGGAAGTGATGAAGGTGGTGATGATGAAGATGATGAAGATGATGACAGTGAAGAAGAAAATGAAATACCAGCTGCTGAGAAACCAAGTGGTTCTCCAAGCAGTAGCATCGTTACTGACAGGCACCAAGTTGATACAAGACTAAGTAGACTTAATGCAAGTGATACAATGTGAGTGTGAAATTGTTTTCAACCAAGATGGATGGAAGTTACATGGTACAGCTTATGTCAATGAATATCTGCTTACAGTTAGCTCACCATAGGAATCCAGTTTAATCCTTTTGTTGTCTTGCCCAACCATTGTATTTGATATGTGAAATAGTGACCTTCCTCCAGTAGCGTTTAGCTCACCAAAGCAGTCCAGTCTAATCCCTCTGTTGTTCCGCTCACCATCTGCATATGCAACATGAGAAATGTGAGTGACGTTTTTTAAAGTTATGTTTAGCTCAACATAAGAAACAAGTCCAATCTCTCTGTTAGGCCTACCAACACTCTTCTTGATACAAGTTGATATTTTAATTGTATCAGTTGGTAGCTTTGCCTCCTACGTTGAGCAGACTGTAATCAGGTGGCCAGCTGAGATGGGCTGTACCAAGTAAGGCTGACCCATCTTGAATGGAAGCGCAGCTCCAGATTGGCCTTTGACTGTATGTAGAACGTGCAGTTTGGTTGATTTCATTCTCTTGTTAGAAGTTCTAAGTGTGTCTGAAAAATGTGCCTATTTGATAGAAGTGTCTACTTATGATGTTGATATGTAATCACTAGTACGTAGATTATTTGTTGAGTGGTCATTTGGTTGTTTTCAGACCACAGAGAGAGAGAGAGAGAGAGAGAGAGAGAGAGAGAGAGAGAGAGAGAGAGAGAGAGAGAAGAAAAAGTGGAAACACACTGACACCAATACACACACTTACATGCATAGAAGCACACACATATATACACATAGCTATTGATAGATGCATGTTTATTAGATTATTAAGCTTTTGCATTTATTATTACTTTATCATTATTATTATTATTATTATTTTGATACTGATAGAGATGATAGTAATAGTACTAAGTCTTACTAGTGTAGGTGTGGTACTCAGGTTGGTAATTACTTACAGTTGACAGTCTGAAAGTCAATTGGTCATCTACTTTTTGGCTGCAGGGATAGTTTCGCACACACAAAAAAGCCCAAAAAACCATATATTTACAATAGTCTACTTAGATAAAAAAGTAAACATTGGTCTGACATCTAGAGTTGTTTTTCAGCAGGCACAATATTTAAATTAAATGGTCTACTTACTTTTCTTGGGTGGAAGTAGACTAAACTAATTATCTAAAATTTTGTCCTTTTTATTTATTTTTTTATTATTATTATTTTTTAAATGTGAAACCAACTTTAGGAGAAGTTTAGTATATTTTTTAAAATAAATAACTCCTAATGAATCCCATAAAAGATTTAAATGTACATATAATAGAAGGGTTGGACATGTGTAGCATTAACAGCATGAAAATGTATTATATTTCATAAACAAAACAATTATTGGATTCTTCAACCCAGTATGCAGTTTGAATTACATACTAGGATATTCTTAAGACATATTGGATCCTGTAGGGATATCTATAGTACTGTAGATAGTTGAATACAATGTAAAAGATGGGGGCATTGCTTAAAAGACAAGTGTCATTAATTCCATTACTTCACTAGAGCTTTGGAAGATGCCCAGCTGCAACATGACCAATATGCAGCAGAAGGACTGTAAGTGTATATATTTGCAGTCTGTTTTAGTCTGCTTTGATTTCTTTTTTCTCTTATATATTATATTCAACTTTTTTACTTGACCTCTTAGGTTGGGTGATTTTTTTTTTTTTTTCGTTCTACGATCAAGACATCATTTTCCAAATTGATTTTTCTGTGAGACTATTATTTCACCTGTTTATTGATTAAGGTGCTTTAAAGTTATACATATGAAGTAAAATCTGCCACTAAACCCGATCAAATGCCGTCATTTGGTTTCTAATAGCATTATATTGTTAACTTTAAGAAAATACCAATAGATACTGTTTCATAGAAAAATGGAAAAGTGATATTTTCTGCTTTTTCCCCCCTGTGCTATACATAAATAAATCTTTGATTGTTTCTGTCAAGTCTGCTTTTGTGCTAGCAGCAGTTATACATCAAGCATCATGGATGGAGCATTACTATGTCGTTTGGCAGACATTTATGAACTAGAGAGACACATAAAAAGGTCAAGTTTACGACCAGAAATATGTGGGATCTATATTTAAAAGCTATTATTTTTTGGCTGAAACGATTGAGCCATTACCCTAGTCCTGATTACAAATAAATAAAATCTAAATTGACAGTCTGATGGAAATTCATCTTAGTTTGTAGTTTATTGATAATGACTATAAGTGTAAACTTTTCACTTTCTGCCCAAAATTGAAGCTTCACCTCAAAAAGCTTCATGTTCGTGGAGAGAGGGAAAAATTCAAAGTTATGATCAGTCACCAAATGGTCATTGTTGAATTTTATTGGAATTTCAGAGAAGACCAGAATGGACCACCAGCTGATTCTCCTCCATTGTCTGCAGAGCCAGATGGGGAGGAGGCTTTCATTGAAGAACCAAAGTATGAGCGGGCCATCGTTACCACTTTACTTGTGTAGTTTTACCGTTTTTGTTTTTCTGATTTACGGTATTCTGATTTTACATGATGCTGCTTTTTATGCACTTGTCTTGTTTTTATTTATCTTTAATAGAAATTGGATGCTCTGATGGTCTTTGCAGTGGATACTCTTAATCTGATATGTTCTTTTATTTTATTCTGACTTGAGTCTTATAAAGCATATTTGATTGTTTGTTTTTGTGCACCTAGTTTTTTGTTCAATGGTAACTTTTCTTTTCCAGATTCCCTTCTTTTTGTGAACTATGTTTTGTCACAGAAGTCAAAGAATGATGAAGAACTCTTTTTCACTCTTTATAACTCTCTTGACAGACTTTATCCTATTTTATTTAGTGTTTATGGACTTTATTGGATTGAAACTTGTTTTGGCGTGTTGTCTTTTCTTTTCAGAGATTTTGGGGATGTCTTTTATGTTGGCTGATTTGAGCAAAGATGTTAAAATCATTGTGTTTTGGTGTACTCTTTTCTATGTACAGTTTGTTTATGGTGTGATTATAATGATGTGCAATGTCTTTGTACCTGACCCAGATTTTAGTACAAGATATGGTACTTTAATTTTTTTTTTTTTTTTGAGATTAAGTGCTCTCTTTCTCTCTCTCTCTCACACACACAAACACACACACATACTCACACACACACACAGCTATGGCTCTGAAACAGGATGGTCAATACACCGAAAAAGTTGTAAAGTTGGTGGCTTTTAAGTGCTTGGCTATTAAAGTAAGACCAGTCTAGGTCATCTTTCAATGCAGTATAAGATTTTGTTTTATTCTCGCTCTTCTCTCCCCTTCTCTTCCACTACTATAACTTGAAGCAGAACAGAATTTTTCATAAACACTTCTCACACAATTCCTTGAATTTCTAGAACACAAAGCCCCAGAGATGTTGAAGACGAGGCTGAAGGAAGTGGCTCGCCCCCGCCAACTGCCAGACAGCCCCCTCCAGCAGAATCGCCGCCTCCGCCATTGGATGAAAGTGGTGGCACTGGCGGAGGAACAGGGGGAGGTAGGTGGAGATGAAATTATAGCAAATTTTGAATTTTATTGTTGAACTTAGATGTGTTCACTTAATAATGTATAAATTTTAGTAATATTGTTAGTATTATTATTTTAGTATTATTATTTAGTACTAATATTATAGTAAATGGGATACTTCAGTGATTCAATTGCAGGATATGAAATGAGTGTGTGCATATAGATTTTTTTTTTCTTTTTGTCACATTGTATTAATATTTATTGTATTGGAATTAATATTTTGAGAATTTTCTTAGTTTGATGATAAATGTATCACTTTTTAAAAGAAAATTAAATGAACTTACCTCAGCATGAAGAAATTATGAAAATAAATTTAAAAACTTTAAACTGGTCTCACTGTAGCAAATTAATTTTTTTACTTTATTAATTTAAACCAATGTACTTTGATATGCTTCTGAAATAACTTTAATCCTTGTGTTAAAGTACAAACTTCTGAATCATAATAAAGTAATATTAATTATAAAAATTTAACACTATGTATCAAATTCTTAATTTTTTAAAGGAATCACAGAAGGACCAGAAGAAATGAGTGAAAAAGATCTCCGCGAGGCCAGCATTCTTATTGACGTGTTTGGGCAGCCATTGGTAGGTTGATAGTCTGTGATGTAAACACTGACGTCACATCAAATGCCAGTAAACTTGGAGTCCAATCAGTTAACTTTTGCCAATATGTTCAGTCAGCAGCCTCTATTTCTGCTTTGAATCAGTAGTTAAATACTGAAAGGGCCAGAGGCAGGCTTTAGCCAGGATTTTGAAGTAGGAAGTCCAAACTTTTTTTGTAACTGAAGCAGGCCATCTAAACTCGATATGTTCCAGGAAGTCCAAATTTATTTTCTTACTGAGGCAGGCCATCTTAACTCCATATGTGTTTTCTTACTGACTCGAGACCATTCATCTGAACTCAGTATGCTCTAATAATGAAAATCTTTAAAAAGTGCCAGTCCAAAATTGAAATACAGAGTCCAGAAGAGAGCTGGACAGTTGACTGGCTAAAGGTCAGCAGGCTAAAGAGGTTTAGACAGAAAATTAAGTTAGCCTGGTGTCTTACACCCCATTTCCGTAGATTTTTAGATCGATCTATCCCTGTGGGGAGTCTCACTAGATTATTGTCAGCTTGGCCGGCTTAAGCGTCTGTCCCACCTACAAAAGGTGTAAGGGGGTAATTAACTATGGTGCCCGCTCAGCTGACTGCAATTTAGCGTGAACCCCCAGGGAGTTAAGTCGATCTAAAACTTAATCTTTAGATCGATCTAAATCTCTGGGAAAGCACCCTTACACACTGTTGGCTTTCAATTTTAATATTTTTTATTGTACACTTCACAACCTTTTTATACACTTCACAACCTGTGGTTGACCATATTTTACCCTTATGTGGTAAAGAAATTTCATTTTTATATTTAAGATTTTAACTATTCTTTTCCAGGCTGCCAAAGCCTATTCCAAAACTTGGAGTTTCCGAGAAGATGCCATAAATTCTGTCCAAAAGGAGCTGCGCGACCTACCTACCAGCTCTCCTAAAGAAGAGACCAGAAACATGCTGCGGGCAGCCATTTTTCTAGTTCAACGAGGGATCAAGGATAAAGTGCAAGCGGTGAGAATGTAACCAATTTGAAGTGCAGTGAATTTCTTCTTTCTGTGATAGATTCATGATGCATGTTTGTGCAGGCATGTCAGGTGCAAATGCCTTCATAAAAAATCAGAGTTAAATAAAAAATATATTTTAAGAATCTTGACAATGTTAGATTAATGTTATGCATGAGGATCATTAATGTAACCTCTTTCTTTCTTTCTTTCCTTCTTAATTGAAATAGATATATCAGAAACAGATTTGTCTGAAATTAGGATAAAGATTTCTTTATGGTTTTCGATCTTGAAGTTAATGTCAGTTGTATATATTTATTCTTTATTCTAAAGTTGGACATCTGTCAAAATGATTATTTATTTTTGTTTTTGTATCTTTTCTTAGGTATTCAAGGCAGCCCTGAGTCTTCTGCGGTTTATTCTCAAAGATTTTATTTCATTGCACAAGTATGTAATTCCCCTTTTCATTACATTTCATTTCCTTGTTCAATAAACAAAGTTGATCATAAAATTTGGGTAATAAAGAAATCTCTGAGCATCCAGTTGTATGCAGTTTCTTTTATTTGTTTTTTATCAAAGATTTTCCACTTGATGATTTGACATCATAGTGGTATTTGAGTGAAACTCATTTCTTTTTCATTTGAAAAATCACATTTTACTTTTATCAATTAATTAATTAGTTTTTTTTTACTCTTTAGACTTGGCAAATCAGAAACTTCTTATGCTGTTGAAAAGACGCTTCCAGGCTTAATACAAAGGAGCGGAGACACAGTGAGTGGGGCCAATGACGTATTTCTACCCAAGATTTTAATTAAAATCCAGTTTAAGTGGAATCTTGTCTTAAGAACTAACTTAGCAATATCAAAAATCACAGAAGTTGGTGTCATTGACTTCCTGTCATAAACCCCAAGGCACCAATTGAAATGACTTTCTTTAATAACTGGTCAGGTCTTAAATGTTGGGGCTCAGATAAGGTGATCATCCTATATGATAGCCAGGCTATGAATTAGTTGTCAGTCTCTCCAGCTGGTACAATATGGAAAAAATCATTTTTTTTTATTAAATCAACAAAATATTTCAAAATGGATTTTAGGCCAAAGATAAGTGTATTGTTATTATTATTGTGTTGTTATTATTGTTCCTTAAATTTTTTGAAATGGGGCCTTGATGGCACACATGAGGTAAAAAATAAAAAGAGAAACTCTTTGATTTTTGGAAAATACTACATAACTGATTGTCCAATTTTTCAGGCTGCTAGAATCAGGGATGAAGCCAAAGCATTTGTTTTAGACATAGCACAATACCCAGATGTCAAGGTGAGATTGTTACTTTATAGTTTATTTATTTATTTATTTATTTATTTTGTATTTATCTCATCACAACTCTGATGTTGGGGGGGGGGGGTAAAGAGAGCCTTGGTTGTAGTAATTGTAACATTTTATTTGTCTTAAGCGACCACCTCTTATTTTACAATGTTGTAAGCGACTTGAATAATACACGTGTGTTCCAGCATGGCGGCTTACAGAGTTAGCACGTTTATGTTACATGGTGTCAGAAGTTAAACTTTTCCAGCTATTAGTGAGTCCTTACACATGCCACATAACATTTTTAATTGTGCGAGACACTAATTAAAATGGCGTATGCATTCGAGCAACCCAGTTTCGATTGGGAGTCTAAAAATTTGTACTTGGAATTTACTCGATTCCGACAGCATGCTGAGCTCGTTTTCAAGGGTCCACTATCACAAACAGATGATAAGATAAGGGCAGGATGGTTAGGCATGTGGATTGGAAAACAAGGGAGAGAAATTTATAAAACATTCACTTGGGAAGAAGATGAAGAGGATAAACCAGAAGCAATATTCGGCAAGCTTGAAAATTATGTAAGACCCAGAAAAAACAAACGTGCACAAAGATTTAATCTCCAGAAAAGGAAGCAGGAGGAAGGTGAGACATTTGACAATTTTGTAAAAGACATCAGATTGATTCTTATGGATTGTGAGTACCAAGACGCTGAAGACATTTTAATTGACTGTATAATACGTGGGGTGTACTATCCTCGAGTTCAAGAGAAACTGTTAGAAAAAGGGGAAAGACTTACTCTAGCTCAAGCATTAGAAATAGGCAGACAGTATGAGTCATCCCAGCAACAAATGAAGATTCTAAGACCAGAAGTTGAAGTTTCCGCCATTAATCACAAGTCACATAAGAGTAAGGAAAGCCATGCTAGTAGAAATCCCTCACAAGCCTCTAAGAGACAGGAACACGTACCTTGGAAGCAAAAGAACAAGAAATGTGGTCAGTGTGGTTTAGATATTGCAACAGCCCATAGAA